CCTCGAAATTTTATTTAAGAAGATAAGACAATTTCCGTTGTTTCCAAGGCAACTGTAATTATATATTTCTTTTCTTGGAGATTGCATTCTTGAAGTGCTCCTCTACGAAAAATCTCAGCATGATTAAATGAATACCAGCACAAATGATCAAAACACCTGAAGCCTAATTGTCTGAGTCAAACGGGCTTATAATCTGTTATATTTTAGACGGGCTTATAAATCTTTTATACATAACGGATTATAAATCTCTTATGTGCTTGTTCCGTGTTGAAGAAAAAAACAATTTCACAATTAGAATATCGATGGAATTTTTGAACTTGATAAAAGAAACAAGCAAATGTATGACGCAATAGAGCCTGGCAGATGGTTGTCATTTTTCGAACGATAATACATCGACCATGAATTCAAGTATATGTCGTTTCGAGTTAGGATGATCTCGATTGTACGTCGTTTGTCAAAAATATATATAAAAATAAAAATCAAGTTTAAGTCATTTTATTCGACTTTACGTTTGTCCACATTCACAAATATTGGAGTCGTAATATCACTAGGAATGCATCGAAAGCACATAAAATGGTGTTAGATAAGAACTAAAGAATATAAAATCATACTAAAATACGTACATTAAAATATGTACAATATGGGCACTATATTAAAATAAACTATATTCAATAATAAAATTTATTCGCTTGTAAATTTAAAATAGATTCTTATTAACCATATATCATTAGAAAAGCATTTATGAATAAAATACAGAACCAGGAATGGTTAGTTGCGGTTTAGCTCAGTGACAAATATATTCAGAGACAAATGAATTCGACTTAACAAATTCTCTCCTGGAATTAATTAACGACGGAAGGTGAGGTGTACCTGTACATCATTTTATAAGTGTTCACTCATTTACTATGATTTGCTTTCAGTTAAATACATCATACGTACATTTACCTGAATCCAGGTAATCCAGGTAAATGTACGTATGCATTCAGTGATTCACCAAATCGCATCAGTGTAGTCCTTCCGCTGTTACATATGGCGATATAAAAGGATAATACCAAGAAAGGAAGAAATGTGCTGCTTATGGTGTTGATGATAAATAGAGTTGTAATTGCTGATTAATGAAGTAAATAATTAAGTGTTACTTGATAATTAATTAATCAATTGTCAATAATTTACAGATGAACAGTTTTACAATACTTCATAATGAAATGTATCAAATGAGTAACGTGCGAGCACGCTATGGGAACCTTCTTTCGATGCAGCTGTTTTTGTGAAGTTTGTGAGCGTCAAGCCTTTTCCATGTTCTACCGTAATCTGTTCGTTTTAAATAAACTAAAAGAGATGGGCTAGATGACCAATGCGAATCAATATCGCACAGTGAACAAACTTTTGATTGAACCAGAAAGATTGTATCGAACCAACTTTTGGTTGTCTGTGGTGAGGAAAAAGTTTAGAATTAAGTGGGAGGTATGAGGCGATCGCATAGATGTTATCGTGTCGATTCTAGAACTGCTTTCTAGTTCTCGAGACGAGTTTTGATCCCAGATTTCGAGGATGAAAAGTGCATAAGGATAACTGTGACTTGCGAGCCAAAAATAACTGCATGAAATAACCGTTCCTATTAGTAAAGTTCAAATCTCAAATTTCAAAAAACAAAAGCAAAACTTTCAGAGATGCATTGAATATTTTGATGAAAATTGTTGCAATGATATGGCGGATGCGTAGTATTTTGATTTGATTCGAACGGTGATGATGAAAAGTTGAAATGCGTTAAATTGCTTTCAAGATTCGTTGCTTTACAATTCCATTGAACCTGCTACATTCGATGTTTCAAACGAAAAACTGATAGTGAATGCCACCTTCCGATTCAATTTCGCTTTCATATCCAAACATTAGCAAAAACATTTCAAGCAGGTAGCCAAATAACCGGATAGAATCAGTCAATCTGTCGCGACCAGCTTTATCGCCACTGATGATTCATCGAACTACACCTCTGCAATGTTAACATTCACCCACTTTATACAAAACTTTGCTGTGAAAAGAGCTCCAAAATTATGCGCATCACGCCGATTTCGCATAACCTATTCTCTCTGACACTCGCGTTACACATTATACCTTTTTATCAAAACATCGATACGTTGAACAAGAATTTCAACAAAACCATCCGCTTAATATTGAATGATAATTTCGGTTGCATTTTGCAGAATCCAAAATCTTATTTGTTTACTTAATCAGCAAATCGAACTCATTACCAATTTATGCCTCTCTGTTATTACCAACATCACTGATATCTCTATATCACCAATATCACATTCTTCCTTCCTT